CAACTGTGAACCTAAAAATTTACAGCCACTTTTGAAAGAGATGTACTCTTGCTCTGGAGTGTGTTACTGAATATGTTAAAGCTGTAATGAAATGCTTCTTCTAATCATGTAGTTATTAAAAAAATTTTAAAAATTTACTTCATGTTAAATAGTAGAGGTGATAAACATTACCAGTGAAATTTACCTGATGATTTTACATCCATACTTAGGTACTAAGGATCTGAGTGGAACCGACTGTGACTAGTTATAATCAAATACATAGAGATTAAAGACACATGTGCAAACATGTAAGTTTTAGTAGCATTAAAAATGTAAGAAACAGCAAAAAAAAACTTAAATTGATTTTTGTAAGATACTCAAATTAAGAACAGAAAAGTTAAACCTCAAATTAGAAAAGACATAGCCAATAAATATAGAATAAGAAAAAAAAAAGGATATATAAATCTCTCCCTAAAATAAGGTGGTGCATACCTTGGAGGCAGAGGCAGGTGGATCTCTGTGAGTTCAAGGCTAGCCCGACCTACATAGTGAGTTCCAGGCCAGCTGGTGCTACAGGGAGACCCTATTTCAAAAAGACCGATAAAGCTGGGCGTGGTGGCACACGCCTTTAATCCTAGCACTTGGGAGGCAGAGGCAGGTGGATCTCTATGAGTTCAAAGCCAGCCTGATCTACATAGTGAGTTCCAGGCCAGGGGGAAGTACAGGGAGACCCTGTCTCAAAAAGACCAAAAAATAAAAATAAAAATAAAAATAAAATAAATAAATAAATAAATAAATAAATAAATAAATTCTGTGGGGCTGGAGAAGTGGCTCAGTGGTTAAGAGCATTGGCTGCTCTTACAAATGACCCGGATTCAATTCCCAGCACCTCACATGGGCTAACAACCACCCATACCTCTAGTTCCAGGGAATCTGATGCCGTCTTCTGACCTCTACAGGCATTACATGACATGGGTGCACTTATATACATGAAGTCAATATACTCATACCATTAAAAAATAATAATAATAAAAAAAATGTTAAGGGCTAGGCGTGGTGGGGCACACCTTTAATCCCAGCACTTGGGAGGCAGAGGCAGGCAGATCTCTGTGAGTTCAAGGCCAGCCTGGTCTACATAGTGAGTTCCAGGACAGCTGGGGCTACAGGGAGACCCTGTCTCAAAAAGACCAAAAAAAAAAAAAAAAAAAAAGTTAAATAAGGGCTAGAGAGATGTCTCAGTGGTTAAAGAACACTGACTGTCCTTGCAGAAGACCCAGGTTCGAATCCTAGCACCCACATGGCAGCTAACCGCTGTCCGTTAACTCCTGTTCCAGGGGATCCGATGGTCTCTGCAGGCAATACACACATACGCATAAAATTAAAATAATACGGCCAGGTGTGGTGGTACACGCCTTTAATCCCAGCACTTGGGAGGCAGAGGCAGGCAGATCTCTGAGTTCAAGGCCAGCCTGGTCTACATAGTGAGTTCCAGGACAGCTGGGGCTACAGGGAGACCCTGTCTCAAAAAGACCACCCCCTCAAAAAAAAAGTCTAGTTCCAGGGGGATCCAATCCCCTCTTCTGACCTCTGTGGCATTGCATGACACAAGTGCACTTACATACATGCAGGCAATACAGTCATACACATAAAAAATACAGTCATACACAAAACAAAATTTTTTAAAAAATAATTTTTTAGGAATGGAAATATAGTTCTGTTCACCGTTGTTTTTCTAGCATGGAACATCTTGAAAGTACTTAACATACGCAACATTGCCCGAATACCACATTTACTATGAAAGATTCAACATTGCCAAAAAAGGACTAGATTATATAAGTATGTTTTTCTTGCAGTAAGTAACCTCTTCATAAAAAGATACTAAAAATCATGCTGAATAAATAAGAAACAAGTAGAATTATGCATTCTCTTCCATCATCTGCTCCGGGATTTACAATTTTTTTTTTTCTGTATTTCTCTTCCCTCAACGCAATGGCTAGTTAGCTGAGTTCAGAACTGACTAGCTATAAATTCTTAGCTGAAAACTCATACCCGCCTTTTTAAAATTCCAAATTAAATTTTAGCATAATATTTTTCTTTGTTCAAAAATTAGTTCCCATTCTATAATACAAATAAAATAAAACATGTACCTTCCATCTTTCAGCGTATTCACAATAAATCGGTTAATCTGGCAAATGCAGTTGCTGGCCAATAGCTCTTCCTCGACAAGCCGGTTCAACTGTGTTGCCAACATGAAAGCTGAAAAGCAGAGAGAGAACTTTAGTCTCTGAAACCTGCTGGTCTGAAGAACATGAAAGTGGATCACAAAGAAAAATAATTAAACACATTCCTGTTTAAAGTAAAGTATTCAGACTCTACCTAGAAGAAAACAGTGTAAATCTGTTGCGTGTTAAACATTCACAGCTATTCCTAGATGTTATTTATTTCTCAGAGGGTCACAAAATCATTTTTACTGTCATTCAGGTATCATGAAAAAGACTAAAAAATCCTTTCTAGGTCTTTACCACTGTGGCTACAGATAACAAGTGAATGTTCTGCAAATGTTCTCCTGTCTTCCTTTTAAAGCGTCCAAGACAGAAATAAAACCCCTAAAAAAGCAAGTATAGCTAACCCATCACACTCACAAATGCCAATACTACCCTTAGGGAAATTAATCAAAGAAAACATAGAGCACCACTTAGAGAAAATTAATTAAGCTGAATGGCAGCTTTCTGCTGTATCCAGGCTACTGTCAGACGCTTGCCAGCTGCAACTCTGGCTGAACAAAGCCCACAGCCAAGCAAATGTGGACTTCAGGTGCTCCAAATAGCAATCAGAGGAGAGGGTGTGCTTTTATTTCTAAATATTCACAAAGTTTAGACTTTTGCATCATACTCACAGGACAGTGTGTTCAAGCCATCACTCATAAGCAGTCGATAACGGGGTGGACTGTTCCCTGTAGTAATGGGACGGATGTTCTAGAAAAGTTGATAGAAAAGTTGATTCATTAGCCAGGCTGTCTGCCCAATCCCTAAGGGTAAGTGAGCCTAAGTGGCAGGAGAGTATATCTGCCATTAATTTAAGACAAGATGAACTGCTTGCCTATTCTCCTGACACCTAAACACAAATGAAAGAAAATTGATTGATGATTTTCCTACCAACCTCTCTCCACCATTATTCAAAAGAATATAAACTGAAATGTCAATAATTTACATCTATTATATATAATATATATTTTATATATATATAGGCACTTAACATATGCAAGGTACTGTGTAGAAAACAAGCAAAAAATACAAAATGGAAAAAAATCTTTGCCCTAAAGCAAATGGAACAGACGAGAGACAAGCAACGCATGGTCATAATGATCTCTGGCAGAGTCTAGACACTCCCTGGGTTTGAAGGAGAGCAGAGGCAGGTTTCTGAAGGAGGTGAGTTATGTCACCACTGATGAAGACTAGCTGTCTAGGAGCAGTGAAGACCCTTCTACTCCTCAAATCCATAGGAATGATCCTGGATTCTCTCTTCTACTGATGTTTGAAATTCCCATTACATTTTAGAACCCCCTCAATGATGAATGAATTGTAAGCAGACAAGCTCATTAAAATGCTTTAAATCCAGGTATGGTGGCACATGCCTTTAATCACAGTATTCAGGAGGCAGAGGCAGGCATATCTCTGAGATGGAAGCCAGCCTGGTCTCCAGGAGTGAGCTCCAGGCCAGCTGGAACTACAGGGAGACCCTGTCTCAAAAAGAAAAAGAAAAAAAAAAAAAAGCTTTAAATATTGATTTGTGCCAGGTGGGGTGGTGGTGCACACCTTTAATCCAGTACTCTGGAGGCAGAGGCAGGCGGATCTCTGTGAGATCAAGGCCAGTCTAGTCTACATGAGTTCCAGGTCAGCTGGGGCTACAGGGAGACCCTGTCTCAAAAAGACCTCCTAAAAAAACCCTACCACCACCACCACCCCCACAACAAAAATTTACTTGTGCATGTGTGTACATGCCTGTAAGAGAGAGAGCATGTCCGTCACGTTATACATGTGGCAGTTGTGAAGAGGACAACCTATAGGAGTTGGTTCTCTCCTTCTACCAAGTAGGTCCTGGGAATGGAACCCAAGTCCTCAGGCTTAGTGACATATACCCTTACCTTTGGAGTCGTCTCACCAGCCTAAGCTAATTTTAAATGTATTTCTCTGCAGGTCAAACGTAAAGCAGATTTGAACAGATGGAACATAAGGTTAGGAGTTTAGTGAGTAGGCAGTTAAAGAATAGGAACAAAACCTAAATCTGAACCTCTAAAAGTTTGACCTTAGCTAACATAATTCTTGTGTGTGGTGTATGTGGTTTTTGAAATAGAGTTTTGCTATGTAGCCAAGGCTGGCCTTGAGCTCACAGTAATCTTCCTGAGAGCCTTCTGAATGCTGGAAATACAGGCACATGCTACCATGCTTAGCTCCTGCAATGTAATATTGAAAGGCCCAGCTCTTCTCTCAGGATTACAATGTGGACTGGCTGAAGTAGACAAAACCATGTGTCTTTCATCAAATGCAAGTTATAAATACAATGTTTTTCTGAACACATGTAGGCACTTACAATGACTTGGAGGACAGGTTTGATAGAGGTATTTCCCTGCTGCATTATGGCCTGGAAAAGAAAAAGCAGATTCTTGTAAAATATCCAACAATTAAAAATTTTTTTAATTATTTTATTTATTTTTATTTTATGTGTATGAATGCTATGCCTGCATATAGGTAAGTGCACTCATGTTGTGCAATGCCCACGGAGGACAGAAGAGGCTGTCGGATCCCCTGGAACTGGACTCATGAACAGTAGTAGTTAGCTGCCATGTGGGTGCTAGGATTCGAAACAGGGTCTTCTGCAAGAACAGTCAGTGTTCTTAACCACAGAGCCACCTCTCCAGCCCCTCCCCCCCTTTTTTGGACAGTCTGCTATTTGGAATAAATACAGATAATATTGTCCTAAGGACTTGCCTATTCAGGGCTTCCAGGATGGCTTAGTGGGGAAAAGCACTTGTCACACAGCCTGATGACCTAAGTTAGATTCCAGGAGCCCATGACAGGACAGAAGTGACTCCTGAAAGTTGTCCTCTGACCTTCACATGCTTCATGATGTGTGAGCATGTGTGTGCAACACACACACACACACACACACACACAAAATGACAATAATAATTATAAAACTTAAATTGGCTGGGCATGGTGGCACACGCCTGTAGTCCCAGCACTTGGGAGGCAGAGGCAGGTGGATCCTCTGTGAGTTCGAGGCCAGCCTAGTCTACAGATTGAGCTCCAGGCAGCTGGAGCTACAGGGAGACCTTGTCTCAAAAAGACCAAAAAAAAAAAACCCCCCCAAAAAAACCTTAAATTGAAAAGAACCGGGCTGGGGGTGGTGGCGCACACCTTTAATCCCTGCACTCGGGAGGCAGAGGCAGGGGATCTCTGTGAGTTCAAGGCCAGCCTGGTCTCCATAGTGAATCCAGGCCAGCTGGGGCTACAGGGAGACCCTGTCTCAAAAAGACCAAAAAGAAAGAAAAAAAAAAAAAATTGAAAAGAGCCAGCCAGTTGGAAAATCTTAATTTTATCAATGGACAAATCATGAAAGTACCTGTTTTCAAAGAAAGCAAACAGTAGTTGTTGCCAATGGAAATGCTGTTTGCTTGTGAAAATTGGGATGTTTGAATACTATATTCACTGCTATGAACTTTTTTGAGGTTTTTATTTGTTTAAAGATAGGGAGAGTCTCATATAACCCAAGCTGGCCTAGAATTTGCTATGTAGCCAAGGATGACCTTGAACTTCTGATCTTCCTGCTTTTAGCTCCCAATACTTAACGCTTTCCTCATGAAATTAGTAGCATTAATATACATTCTTGTTTTGTTTTTTATTTTGAGAGGTCTTGCTATGTATCACTAGCTGACTTCAAATTTAAGATCCTCCTGCCTTAGAATGCTGAATTACAGGCATGTGCCACCACACTCAGCATGAATGTGAATTTTTTAAAAAATACATTATTTTTATGTGTATGAATGTTATGCCTGCATGGATACAAGTGCACCTGTGTGGTGCAATCCCCAGTGAGGTCAGAAAAGGGTGTCAGATTCACCTGGAGCTGGAGTTACAGACAGTTGTTAGCCACCATTGTGGGTTCTGGGAACTGAACCTGGGTCCTCTGCAAGAGCAGCTAGTGCTTTTAACTGCTGAGCCATCTCTCTAGCTCCATGAATGTGAATTTCACTCCAAGAATGGAATGAAATATATCAAATATGGAAGATCTGTAAAATGTGATGAGCCAATTATTTTCCAAATGCTAAAATAACACATAGCTGAGCATGGTGGCACATGCTTATAAATCTCTATACTCAGAAGACTAAGGCAGGAAGATCATGTTAAGACCAGCTTGGGCTACATAGCAAGTTCCAGGCCAGCCAACCTGGATTACATGGCGAGACTGTTTCAACTCAACAAAGCAAGCACACAAACAAAATAACACAAAGCCCCATAAAGGGCAAAAATTCACTCAAAAAGCAAGATAAGTCAGGCCTGGTAGCTCACACCTGTAATCCCAGCACGAGGCTGAGAAAGGATTTCTACAAACTCTAAGACAGTCTGGGTTTCACAGTAAGTTCCATTATAGGCCAGACCAGACTAGGATACAGAGTGAGACTCCTATTTAAAAAAAAACAAAACAAAACAAAACAAGGGGCTAGGGAGATGGCTCAGTCAATAAAGTGCTTGCCACTCAAACATGAGGATCGGAGTTCAATCCCCAGAACCAGTATGGTGACTCACACTTGTAATCCCAGGGCTAGGGAGGCAGAGACAGGCAGATTCCTTGGGCTCACTGGTCAGCCAGCCTAGACTACTTGATGAGCTCTAGGTGAGAGATTCTCACCTAGGTATGACAGCCTACAGGCATGCATGCATGCATGCACACACGCACTCATGCACCAAGCCAGGCATGGTGGCTCACACATGTAATCCCAGTACTTGGAAGGCTAAAGTAGAAGGATCACCACATTAGGGCCAGCCTCGGTTACAGTGAGTGCCTGCCTCAAAAAAATAATAAATAAGGCCAACAAGCTGGCCAACAAGTGGGTAAACGTGATTGTTTTACAAACATGACAACCTGAGTTCAATTCTCAGAATCCACAGTGGAAGGAGAAAATCAGCTCCCAAAAGTTGACCTCTACATGCCCACTGTGGTACATGTGTGCAGTCACACTAATAAAAATTTAAAGAATAAATAAAAAATAAAAATGAGATTCTAAAACCAAAATTATGGACTGAATATTTGTGCTCCCCAAATTCATGTGATGGTATTAGACAAAGTCTTTGGGAGGTAACTGGAATCAAGTCATAAGATAGAACCCCACAACAGGACTATTGTTCATATATGAGAGAGAATAGAGAGCTCTCTCCCTCCAAAAGCACCAAGAGGAGGTCTTATAAACACACTGAGATCACAGCAGCCAGGAACTAAACCTACCTGCATGATCTTGGACTTCCAGCCTCCAGAAATACAAGAAAATGAATGTTTGTTATTTAAGCCACTCAGTTTATATTTTTGCTCTGTTAAGAAAGGGTGTCATGGGTCTGGAGAGATGGCTCAGTGGTTAAGAGCACTGGCTGCTTTTGCAGAGGACCTGGGTTTGATTCCCAGCACCCACATGGCAGCTAACAGCCATCCTAACTCTAGTTCCAGGGGATCCGACGCATTCATATACATTAAAGTTTTTGTTTTGTTTTTTTTTAAAAAAGAAAGGGTCTCACTACATAGCCTAGCCTGGCCTCAAATCTGTGGTATAACTGCCTCAGCCACCTGAGCTAGGATTACAGGGGTATGCCACCATGCCCAGCTTGCAATATATTTTGATAGTAGGCCAAGCTAAAATGCATTACCCTAGAGCAATAATTTAAAAAGCAGAGTACAGCTAATAATAGTGGAGATAAATTTTAAGCATCAAACAAAAGAAATCAGGAAATCTAAAAAAAGAATAAAGATGAGACAAATAGAAAATAAACAGCAAGATAAAAAACTTAAACCAAAATACAGAATTATATTGAGTATAAACAGGTTTAAGTACTCTAATTAAAAGAAACTGTCAGAATGAAGAAAATTCAGCTACTTACTGTCTAAACAAAAAACAATTCAAATATGAAATAGTAAGTTAGAAGTACATTAGGAAGAAGTACACCATTAATAGCAAAGTAGACTTCAGGACAAGAAATACTAACAGGGATAAAGGATGTGCTGAATAGCTTTAGTGTCAACTTGACACACCTGGGTTGAGGGAGGCTCAATTGGTGAATTGCCTCCATTGGACTGGCCTGTGGCCAGTCTGTGGGGCATCTTCTTGATTATTAAGATGTGTGGGAGGGCCCAGCCCACTATGGGTGGTGCCATCCTTGGGCAGGTGGGCCTATGTTGCATAAGAAAGCAGGCTGAGCAGGGACCAGGGGAGCAAGCCAGTAAGCAGCATTCCTCCATGGCTTGTGCTCCAGCTCCTGCCTCCAGGTTCCTGCCCTGAGTTCCTACCTTGGGCTCCCTCAGAGATAAACTGTGACCTGGAAGATGTAAGCTGAATAAACCCTTTCCACCCCAAGTTGGTCCTGGTCAGAGTATTTTGTCACAGCAATGGAGAAACAAATTAGAACAAAAGGACATTTAATAATAGCGTCAGATGAAAACATGTAACACTAAATATATGCAGCTGACAACAAAGGTTCAAAATACATACACACACACAAAACCTAACAGAATTAAATGGAAATACACAATGACAATCGGTTCCAGCATTCTCTCTGATATCTGTATATGAAGAATTATGAAACTTAACTATCAACCAGCCTGACCTAATTAGATCATTTAGCAACTGCAGAAAGCACCTTTCAAATGCATCTGGATCATTTGCATACAGATAGTCCATATGCTAGCAATCAACCAGTCTCCATGAATGTGAAAAGTCTGAAATCATATAGGGTACATTATCACACCAGAATTAAATTACAAACTAATACCAGTATATCTAGGAAATCTCAAATATATGGAAATTAAGCAAGAATCTCTTAATAACCCATCTGTTGAAGAAAAAAAATTATCAGGAAAGTTAAAAAATAAATTATAAACTGAACAAAAATGAAAATATAATCTATCCAAATTTGTAAGATATCTCAAGAATAATGTTTGAAGGGAAAAATTCAGCTCCAAATGCTTACACCGGAGAAGAAAACAGGTAGTGTCAAAGATCTAAGCTTCCATCAAAAGAATCTAGACGAATTCAACCCAATTATGTAAAAGAAAGGAAATAATGAAAGAACAAAAATCAATTCAATAGAAAATGGATAAATGGGGGGGGAGCCCACATGAACCAATTTTTCTTTGAAAGATTAGTAAAACTGATAAACTTTTACCTTATCTATCAACTAAAAAATTCTTCAATATTTAGAATGAAAAGAATCTTCATTATAAATCTACTTACGGCTGGGAGTGGTGGCGCATGCCTTTAATCCCAGCACTTGGGAGGCAGAGGCAGGAGGATCTCTGTGAGTTTGAGGCCAGCCTGGTCTACATAGTGAGTTCCAGGACAGCTGGGGCTACAGGGAGACCCTGTCTCAAAAAGACAA